TGCAACCGCGAACTGGTAGGCGCCATGATTTCGAGAAGCCTTTCCTGGACATGTTTGGGGTGGGCTGGGAGACGCAATTGCTGAAACCAGGGATGTCTAAGAGAAGGTGCCGCAATGTTTTTGCAAAGGGGTTGTTGCAGCATTTTGGGTTCCGGGACCAACAGCGAGCCAGAGATGCTCCGCAATCTGAGCCCAGTCAGCCGGGTAGCGGAAACACGGTTCCGCCTCTTGCCCACAACATGGTCTTGGACAGTGCGCATCTTCCAACGCTCCGTCCAGAGGACGACCGATGGCTCCCAGGCGAGAGACAGTTTGAGTTCGTCACAGACAACGAGAACCTGGCGATGCTGCTCACCGGGCAGGCTTGCCCAGAAGCGCCGCACATTCGAGACATTGAGGCTTGCGTTGAGATTCTGCGTGAATTCTTGGATCTAGGTTGGCGGCCCCGCCACATCATCTGCGAGCCCGTGGTGTGGAGATCTCGGGAGCACAATGCTCTGGCAGACGCCGTGGCGAATTTCTGCATGGACACGGAAGCTGATTTTCAAAAATGGGACGCCTCTATTGTTGACCGGCTTCGCGCAGGTCCCTGTTGTGTACAGGTGCACACAGACGGTGGGCCCGACGCGCTTCCGAGGTCGGAGCGGTTGGCATAACAGTCACACTGTGGAACTACGCCCCGGAGCAGTCATGGAGCAGGAAGCTTTACTTATTACAAGGACGATTCTACGATCATCATTGCACATCATTTTTCACGGAACTGCAGGCGATCAAGCAAGCTTTGGAACTCGTGAGAACGTGGTTTGTCTTAGCCAAGGTGCCGTGAAAGCCATCACTGAAACAATACACGACTAGCCTTGTCTTGGTTCAGGGTCGTTTCCGCGAAAAAAAAAGTGGGGCCAGATGGAATGGCTGGACGCGCAGGGGGAAACACGCGGGGCGCGAAGATCAGATCGACGGGGGAACCCTTCCCCCCGAAGCGGTCGGGCACATCAAGATCGGCAACGCCTGACACTTGGCGCACAACGAGGACGGCCCTGCCGGGGCCATCGCGCGCCCAAATCAGGAGCCCACTGGCCCAGGCGCCACGCTCCTCCACGTCCCTGGCAAGAGCGCTGGAAAAGTCTGCGCGCTGACCCCCAAGGAGGTTTGGCGCGCGCAGGAATGTGGCGAGGCCGCCAGGGACAAGCACCTCGCGGAGGACAATACAACAGAGGAGCTGTTGCGCGCCGCAGCGAGGGCGATGCCCTCCCAAACGGCCAAGGTCATCCTCAGCGCGGCAGCGGACGCCCTGTCCGAGCAGGACAGCGCCCGCGCGGGTGTCTTCTGGGACCCAGAGGAGCGCGCTGCCGGGGAAGCGACCAAACGCTGATTCCGCGACCAGGCGCTGGCCCCCGACGACCCCGGCACCGAGCTGGGCGAGGGCGCATCCAGGAGAGCAGGAGGAGACCTCAGCGAGGAGATCCAGAAGAGCCGCCGCAGGAGCTAGGCGGTTAGGTTTAAGCTGATCGACGACGACACCATCCTGTGCCCCTCAGAGCCACTCGATCCGAGCAGCCCCAAGCTCGGCCGACCGATCGCGCGCTGGCGAAGCCCGAAGCCAAGCGAGCAGCGAAGGTTTTGGGGCGCCACCCCGTCGGACCCTGGGGAAGCCTTTGGCCCTCGGAAGAACGCGGGGGCAGCTGGGCAACGCCCCCCCCCCTGAGGTGGCGGCCCTGGGCATGGCACTAAGCTACAAGCCCAAAAGGTGGAGGCCATGCAGCAGATGCTCAGCGAGGGGGCCCGCATCGGGCACGAAGGCGGCTGGCGCCTACGGGGGGCCTTCTGGCGGCCCCAGGGTGTCAACCCCTGCCTCCCTGAGAAGGACCGAGAAGAGCGCATGAGAGACGAGGGCGCGTCGATCGACCTCTGCGTACTTACGTCGACCGCGCTCGGCCGCGCAGAAGGGGCGGTCAAACAGAAGCTCTTCGCGATTCGATACGCCCACCTAGTGTCAGGGTTTGCCGATCCCCTTCTCCATCGCGGGGACCTCTGGACAACCCCGGCTGGCCTCAAGAGGTGGCAGGGGCCTACGGCCAAGCGCAAGAGGCCAATGACCGCCCAAATGCTGGTCTGGCTCGAGACGTTCCTCCACGAGGAGTCGGGCCTCTCCCGGCCGGACATCTGCGTGGTCTGAGCCGCGATTCTAAAGGCTTTCTTGTCCTCCCTGAGGGCTGGCGAATGTCTAGCGCAAGCAGAGAGGTAATGGTCGGCGAAGCAAATCAATCACAGCGAGGACCTTGAAGCACCACCGTCTGAGGGGCCAGGGAGCAGTCGCCGTCAAGGACGCGGACGAGGCAGTCATCGACATCATGGTTCCGAGACAGATCAATACAACGTCGGCACGGTCGCGAACCAGTATGTCACGCAATCCGCCCTGCCCAGTCCGCGCCCTCAACCGCGATGGAGGCGCACCACGCGCAGCGCTTCAGGGGTAAGGAGTCGAGCCTGCCTCTGTTCAGGTGGTCCTCCGGGGCAGTGCTGAAGCGCGAGGACTTCCAACACGACCTCACGGCAGCAGGACTGGCAGCGGGACTCGGGCGAGAGGAGATCGGGTCCCACAGCCTCTGGATAGGAGGGGCCACGGCCATGCACCACGTGACGTCAAACCTCAGCCAAGTCTGGAGGTTCGAGCGCTGGCAGAGCGACACCTTCCGCGACTACGTCTGGGAGTTGCACGAGCCCACGCAGGGCGGGGCCGACCGCATGGCCTCAGACAGGTCAGAGCTGACCACGCCAACCACCAGGCAGACGACAAGGGCGCCGACGTCGAAGGCAGCAACAACGGCCACGTTGCTGGGCCACGCTGCCGGCGCGGCCGTGGCCAGGGTCGGAGAGAAGAAAGGGCCAGCAGGAACCCATCCACACAGCGTGATCAGAGGTACGCCGGATGTGGTGGCCTCTCTGACCCCGGGATGCCTCCTGGAGCTGCTCGCGTTGGTCACGGCGGTGGCGACGGTCCTCGGGGGAGCCTGCTACCTCTTGGGGAGGTACCACAGCCGGCCCGGAGAAGCGAGCAGCCGGCAGAGATCCGTGAAAGATGTGAGGAGGCTCCTGGACAGCGCGGGCGACGCCCGAGGAAACTCTTCCTCGACACGGGCGTCCAGGGACCCGTGCACTACGGCACGAGGCACGTGCACGCAAGGCAGACCTTCAGGCGCGGCGACGAGGTCACTCGCGTCGCCGCGCTGAACCCGCACGGCGACTGAGGCCGCCGCCGGCGCGCCAGCAAGGAGGCCAGTCGGGCCACGCAGGCGGGCGGCCCAGACCCAAAGGCCCAGGTCCTATGCGGGGTCGGCCCCTCGCTTCAAGGGAACAGGCGCGGGCGCCTGGCTGCACCCAGGTGCCCGGGTCTCCTGCGAGGTTGGTCCCCCACTCAGGGGAAGAGGCGCACGCGCCCGGCCAGGCGAGCTGGCCAGGCCGCCAGCCAGGCCACAGGCCTCAATTCCACGGTTCCCTGAGGGGTGGGCCCCTTGCGCGCGGGGAATGGGCGCTCGCGCCCAGCAGCGGCAGACGCACAAACCGCCAGCCGGGCGAACATCATATCGGGGGGGCGGTTACCCCGGAGGCCGGCCCGGGAGTCAAGACCCTGGCCGAGGCCCGCCCCTGACGATCCGCATGCGCACGAGCCGTGCACCCGAAGGACCAGCAGGCGCCGGCGCCGCCGTGCCCAGTGCCGGCATCAGGCGTCGGCGTGGCCCGCTGCGGAGGCGGCTGTGGCATCAAAAGTAGATGTTGGTGCCCGCCTGCGAAGCCCCTTGCACGTGGTGTAGTGCAGCCTCCTCGGAGGCCGGGGTCACCGAAGTACGGAACTGCTGTAGTGAACGGCATCGTGGAGCTCCACGACGTTTTGCTGAAGGGGGCGGCGGAGACCCGCTTCGCGTGGCGGATAAAGGCCATGACGCGGCGTGGCGTATCATGTGTCATGGTAACATCGTCATCGTCATCTGACACCGACGCCGCCTCCTCTCCTCCCTCGATCCTCGTCTGCACATGCTCGAGGTTTTCACGCTGTAATTGCCGGGCTTGCTTTGCCCCCAAGAATGTGCGGGTTACCTCTCTCTTCTCTCCTGCAGAAGATCTCCCTCTCTCTCTCTCTACGTATTTCGTTTCCCGCTCTGGGGCTGAAGCCTTTTCTGGGCCAAGCTGGCCCGCCCTTTTTAGGGATCCATAGGGGTCTCCCCGCCCTGTGCTTGACAGTCTCCGCCGCTGGTGCCGCAACGGTGCGGCCGCGGAGGCCCGCTTCTCGTGGCGGAAGGAGGCCATGACGCGGTGTGGCGAATCGTGTGCCATTCTGACATCGTCATCGTCATCGTCATCATCATCTGACACCGATGCCGCCTCGTCTCCTTCCTCAAGCCTCATCTGCACAGGCTTGAGGTTTTCGTTCATGCTTCGCTGCTGGCAGAGACAGCTCGCCATTGGGTGGGGAGGAAAGGAGGGGCATGGGGGGGAAGGGCGAAAAGGACAGGAGCGTTGGGGGAGGGGGGGACGGGAGCACGGGGAGGACCAAGACACAGAAAAGGGAGGGCAAAAGGGGGAGGACGGGACGGAGGTGGAGCGTACGGAAAGGGTTTGGGGGGGCGGCGGGGCGCGGGGAAACACGGGAGACATCCAGCTAAGACGCGTTGCGATAATCTGCCCAGAAGACACATTATTCGGTCGACCTTGAGCTCGCAGGATGCCCCCCAAAGCTCCAACGGGTGCCTGGGGACGGCGGGGAATGAGGAGTCTTCGTGGGGCGCATGCCGATCGGCCAATTGCTCAACTGGCGCGCTAACTGCAACAGCGCGAGGAGCCCAAAGGGGAGGAGAGGCGGCGACGGCGGCGGACGTCGTCGTCGTCGTCGTCGTCGTCGTCGTCGTCGTCGTCGTCGTCGTCGTCGTCGTCGGCGGCGGCGGCGGCGGCGGCGGCGGCGTCGTCGTCGTCGGGGGCGCGCGGCGGTCGGGGGCGGCGGGAGCCTGCGAGAGGGCTGCCAGGCACGCCTGCGCTCCGAGGAGGGGGCGCGGGGATGTGTGTGTGTGTGTGCGTGTGTGTGTGTGTGTGTGTGTGTGTGTGTGTGTGTGTGTGTGTGTGTGTGTGTGTGTGTGTGTGTGTGTGTGGGTGGGGGGGGGGTCTGTCGGGCTCTCGGACTCTTGGAGGGGCGGCGGGGGACAGAGTGGGGAGGAAGGAGGCCTTCTCCTCCCTTCTCCTCCTCCTCCTCCTTATCTCTTGGGAGAGCTCCTCCTCCCCCTCCTGCTCCATTCCTTGTCCTTGTAAATAACTTCTCCCTGCCCCATTCCGAGACGTGTTGGTATGGCAGACCAGGCGTTTCGCCGAGACCTCTTCACCACGCATGATCCTGAAGCTCGAGATGCAACGTATTCATGGATGGAAGGTAACTGGTGTTCAACATGTGGTTTTGTATTAGCGCCGCGCACATTCGTCGTAAAAGTCTACAACAGGTTGATGGATGCATGGCGGCTGGTTTCCATACTGTGTGTATCGCCTTAGCGCCGCGCACATTCGTGTTAAGATTTTGCAATCGCTTCACGGGTGGAGGGCGGCTGGTTTTCAAAATGCAGTTATCGCTTAAGCGCGGCGCACATTCGCAGTAACAGTGTACAGCATGTTCAAGAATTCGTATGGCTGACATCCAACATGTGCGTTCTGGTATGATTTGGGACTGTCATTCATGTTGATTCGGTGTTCTTGGAATTCCATGAACGGTGTTTGGGCACGGTTTAGGATTGTCAGGACGCAGCAGTCACATTGATTCGCGGCGTTCGAGTCCCAAGACTGGTGTTCAGGCACGATTCAGGAGCTCAGAAGCATGACAAACGTTTGACTGCACGATAGTAATAGTATGTGTTATGGATGTGGTCCCTTGGGGAAATAATCGTGTGAATTCAAAAACATAATGTGGTGGCATTGGCAAGATGCATGAATGGCTGATTTTGTGGTTGGCAATCGAACTTTAACAGCGTACATGTTTTGTTTCTGCCGTTGGAAGTGTGATAAATGTGGAAAAGTGTGACCTCTGAACATGTCAACGGTGTTGCCTGTTTCGTTTGGGTTCTTACAACCGACATCCCAGTGTGTCCTCTGAGGATTGCCAACGTATGTCCACATGAGGCCACGGTGGCGTCATGGGCCCGAGATGACCCCATGATGGCCCCGTTTTTTCATGAGCCCAAGACAGCGTAAAACTCACAAAGCTGAGCGGCTGGCGACAGCCACTTATCCGCCACCGTGCCCTGGGCACGAAGTGGAATGCCCCAAAATATCACACCTGTGCTGCTGCTGCAGCCAGAACCCTAGATTCTTGAGAGCCTGGGCGCCCGGGTCCCCAGGCGGTCCCAGGAATCCCACCAACCCTTTGGGCGACAGGTGGTCCCTGAGGTTTTTTTTTTTGCAAGGGTCGCGAGGTGTCGGAAGCTCCTTTGTCGGACCTTGGGAGGGCCAATGTTTGACACCCGTCACAAAGGATCGTGGCCTCCGAGGGGCGGAAGGGGAATCGACTACCCCCACTATTTTGACCGACCGCCTCCAAGATGGCCCCAAGAGGCCTCCAGGGCTCCCAAGAGGCCCCCAGGAGTGCTCCAAGTGCGCCCCAAGAGGCCCCAAGAGGGCTCGGCTCCAAGAGGCACCCGAGAGGCACCCAAGAGGCCACCGAGCGGCCTCTCCCAAGATTAACTCCAAGATGGCTCAGATAGCCAAAGCTGGCTCAATATGTCTCCCAATATGCTCCAAGCGGCCCCAAGACCGCTCCAAGACGACTCGAGATGGCCACGGAGCCTCCCAAGCCTCCCTCGCTGTTTGACTATTCGTGTCGTTTGCTCTCTCCCCCCGTCAACTCTCATGGGCATCGTTTCTGGATGGGTTGGTGGGGATACTTTTTCCGTCGCAGCCGCAAGCGAAGGCGCATGCGGCGTCAAAGGTCAACCTGGGCTACGGGCGAAGCCTAATTACCCAGCGGACGCACTCACGACTGCCGAGGCTGCCGCCGAGGGAGGCTGAGGGGCGCCGGGGACTGAGGGCAGGCTGCAGGAGCTGCCAGGAGAGCCAGGCGGCCAGCCTGCGGGCATCCCAGAGGCGAGACCACCAGGAAGACGAACGAATTGTACCCTGTCGCGCCAGGCGCTAGAGGTAGGCGTGCCACCGAGCGTGGTACAGCGGGGCTGCGCAAGCAGTCCAGCGAACCAGTGCTGCATGACAACAGAGTCAACCTCACATGGCTGAACAAGAAGGCTGAACCACTCTTGAGCAGTCCACGAAGGGGCGCGTCCCACCATGCAGACGGCAGCTGCAAACACGGCCAGGCTGTGGAGGTGTCTGAGGACCAGAGGCTAGGAACACGCAAGCATTCAAGCCGGAACTGGTCGACGTGCAAGTCACCTGGACGCCAGGGTGCCTCACCGGCTCAACGAAGCCAGCAGGAATACCACCGGGCGCAAGGGACAGAGGGGGGCGGCGCAGCAGGCAGCTGAAGGCTGAGATTACCTCCGGCCAAGTGCCCGCGGCGCGGCGAGCGAGAGTCACTTGACGCCACGAAGAGGAGGCCAGTTCACCAAGGAAACCAAGCCAAGCTGTGGTCGGGACCGAGCGAAGGCCAAGGTGAAAACAGCTACAGTCAACGGCCGGGGCCGCGTGGCACGCTGCGCCCCGCCCCAGCAAAGGGCGCCGTGCCAGGTATCGACGGCGCCGTGGAGCCAGATCCCCAAGCGCGGGGGGCAAAGCCAGGCGGGGCATCGGGACCAACACCGGTCGCCACGAGGCCCGCTGACGAGGTGGCCGGGTCAGGCAGCGGCCAGGCGTGGGGAAGGCCAGGAGCGGGGGCCAGTTCGCCAAGGAAACCAAGCCAGACCGTGGCTGGGTCCGAGCGAAGGCCAGGGTGAAAACAGCTACAGTCAACGGCCAGGGCCGCGCGGCACCCTGCGCCCCGCCCCAGCAAGGGGCATCGCGCCAGGTATGGACAGCGCCGAGGAACCTGATCCCCAAGGGCGGGGGGGGCAAAGCCAGGCGCAGCATCGGGGCCATCACCGGTCACCACGAGGCCCGCTGACGAGGGGTGCCGGGTCTGGCTGCGGCCAGACGCGGGGAAGGCCAGAATGTTTTTTTCGGCTGCCCCACGCCGAAGCCGCGGCCGGCGGCCGCGCGGCGGAGCGAGGGAAGGCCGGCGCTCGGTCGGCCAGCCCCGGAGAAGGCACCCGCCACCGCGCCCCTAGATCGTCACGTCGGGGGTCTGGGGCTGGCCGTCGTCGGGGTGGCGCCGCTCCGCGCTGGGCGCGGCCGCGAAGGTCACTACCTAAATCGACTGTCCACTCCCTCCAGATTGGCCTTGGTAATAGACACATCCCTCACCGCCAGGTTGAGGTTGTTCAGGGTGCGCTGGGGCTGCAAGGGCTCCGCGCCGCCCTCCAGCCGCATGCGCGTCTGCGCGAACTCCTCGATGTCGACCTGGTCGTTGCCGTCCGTGTCGAGGAGCCTGAAGAACCTCGGGGTTCATCTCTATGTCGATGCTCAGCTGTGCGAAGTAGGCCTTGGTGGTCTTGCTGGTGTCGTCGGCGCGGCATGACAGGCCGATGTTGAGTATACTAGAGATACTTTCCCACTGAGTATCATGAATAAAATGACAAGGTGCACCTGGAACAAGTAATCGGTAATTCTCATACACAATGACGCAGGGCACTTTATCCCCAGGGCTGGTGTGTCCATTGCTTGGACGAATGAAATACATCATGTGCGACTCGGAGGAGTACTGGCACTTCTTGAGCTGCGGCCTGTTCTGCTGCATTCCAGCATGGTCGACCATGCCAGTCAGGCTCAGCACAGCTAAATCCTGGCACGCCCAGTGGTGGTTCTTAAGATTGTGGCGCGCAGTCTCTAGGTGCTTGTGATGGCAGTGATCATGTCCTTCAGGTGGCCAGTGGTTGAGCAGTTCTGCGAGCTCGACCCATCCATCAAATTCATCAAGGGATGGTACTTCACACAGGAAACTATCGGAAACATGGCCTCTACGAAAAGGTTTGTGACGAAGAGCAGTCGTAAGCCACTCTGAACGGTGGCGCTGCTCCTCATAGCTCAACTTTGGCTTCCTGAGATTTTCTGCGTTGAGGACCCCAATCAAGTCGTGCTTCTCCGAATCGCATGTGAGTGCTGGGCGCTTACGCAAAATCCGCCGATCCGGCGTGTGAGTTTCAAGGAGTCTCAGCTACAGCCTCGAGGCTGAGCTTCAGCCTCTGGGGGGGTCGCCGGGGTGGCTCTGCCGGGGAAGGGGGGGTGGGGGGGGGGGGGGGGGTGCGAGTTTCCGGCGAACCCCGGGGCCGCTCCGGGGGAGTGGAAGATAGGGGGGGGGGGGGCGCCATGCTCCGCTTTTTCCGGCGCTTTGGAGGAGGGGGGGGGCCCAAGAGACCCCCAAGGGGTTCCAAGAGGGCCCCGAGTCGCCGAAAAATCGCTCCAAGACGCCCGAGATGGCCTCCAGACGGCCCAAGGTGTCTCCAAGACGCCCCAAGAAGCTTCCAAGAGGCCTCCCAAGAGGGCCCCAAGAGGCCAGAATCGTTGATTTTCATTGGTTTTCTCAGGGTTTTTAGCGTTCTTGCCTTTTCGGGCGTCCGACGCTCGAAGACGGCCCAAGAGGCCCCCAAGTCCGTCCCAAGACGGCCCACGATGCTTCCAACACGGCCCAAGAGAGCCCCAAGACGGCCCAAGAGGGCCCCAAGACGGCCCAAGAGGGCCTCTGGACAGCCCAAGAAGGCCCCAAGAGAGCCCCAAGAGGGGCCCAAGAGGGGGACCACGAACCGAAAGAACCGAGCTTTCCGCCCCAAGAGGCCCCCAGGAGGCCCCAAGAGACCCCCAAGGGGCCCCAAGAAGCCCACAAGAGGCCCAAAAGAGGTTCCAAGAGGCCCCAAAACAGCTCCCCAGAGGCCTCCAGACTGCCTCCGGCAGGCCCCCGGTTTCTTCCGCGGCACCGCCCAGGGCGCCACCGGCAGGATGTCCTCCGTCTCATCGTTTTCCTTCAAGTTATCGCCTCTTCCTCATTCTCCTCCTCCTCCTCTGCGACCTCACTCCTATCCCTCAACGATCGCGTCACCGAGTGCCTCTTCTTTGAAACATCCTCGCTCTTCAAACGCACATCCATACACACATGCATACATACCTACATTTAAACACATTTGCATACATAGAAAAACAATCTTCCAGACATACATACTTACATTCACACACATACACACATATTATCATACACACATACAAACATACATACAAACTAAATACATACATACGCGCACAAGCATACATACATACATACGTACCTACACACAGGCACACATGATCAATGCATGCATACATGCATGCACGCGTACATACACACACATATATCGTGAAACTCACCGCGTGCTCGAAACTTGAGAGAGACCGCGGGAAGTCGAGAGAAGCCGCGGAACGAGGCCTCTACTACTACTACCACTACTACCACAACCACTACTACTACTACTACTACCACTACTACTACTACTACTACTACTACTACTGCTACTACTACTACTACTACTACTACTACTAATACTACTACTAGTACTACAGGAGCGTTTCCCAACTAGTATGTGTGTGTGGGTGATGCTGTGTGCGCATGTCTGCGGCGCAGGTTAAGTGGTGTGACTGTGTGTGTGCGTTTGAGTGTGCGCCCATAATTTCTGCGTCTGGAGAATAACCCCGAGCGACCCGGATCGGCGGCACTGGCCGAAGGCCACTACAATATTACGCACCATCTGGCGCGCATGCGCGTCGCTGTCAGCGAGGGCGGCGGTGTCCTCGAGATCGCGCGTCACCACAATGCATCGATCAGACCCATCGTCAAATCGAGGATGATATGCGGGGTTGATCTTCATGCAACTGGACGAGCGCAACTTGTCCCAGTACTCTCGGCATTCCACTGGCATCTCCAAAGTTAGAGCAGGTTGCCCCGCATAATTCTAAGCAGATGGCCCCGCTGGTCTCGGGACTGTCGCCGGCGCGGCAGGCACCGGGGCGTTGGCCGCCAATATGGCAGCGCCAGCGGGTCCCCCAGGCGTCCCAGGAGTCCCTGGCGGGGTGCTGATGTCAAAGTCCCGGCGTTTCTTCTCCTTGATGTTGTAGGACTCGACTGCCATATCTTTGGGTGCCATTCCTGGTGCCTTCGACGAGGTTGCCAGTAGCCTCTTCTCGGTGCCACGCCTTGTTGAAGGAGCGCCCCTGGTTGGCCCCCCCAGTGACGGCACCCAGCCAGCCCCGCGCGTCCGACCCAGTGAAGGGCCGCGACGTGGCACAGGATCCTTTGGAGTAGGAGCACTGGTGCCTTGAAATGCAGCTGCTGCGGCAGCCACCGCCGGTCCTCTGGATCGACGTCTGTCAGCAGGTTGCCCCGCAGATCGTTGCTGCTTACTGTCTCCAGGGTTAGGATCATCTGGGCTCTTCCTCTTCTTCTGCTTGGGTCTGAGCTGATCAGGGCCAAGCGACGGACTCGACGAATCCGAAGATGGAGGAATATCAATAGGCGTCTCTGGTTTCGGCTTGCGAGCTGCCTCGGCCGCGGCCCCTGCTGGCGCCCGCGGCCCATGTCGCGCGGGGCCCCGGCCAGGGTTCAAGTTGCTACCACTTGGCGTTCGGAGAGCCATGTTATTAATAGTGGCCCTTTGCTTCCCAGCCAAAAGGTATTTGGTGGAACTACGCCTTCGTTTTATGCTGGCCTGTATCCAGCGCACACCTTCAGCGCGTTAGGCAATCCGCCTTCCAGGGGAAAGATCCATATCTGCTGCGACAACGTGCTCAGGATCGATAGGGGTGTCCGTTTTGCACGTGACGCCCGTAGCAATGGAGTCGTCCGACGCGCGCCCTGCAGGGGCCGCGTCCGTGGGATCCACCTATTCGGCCATCGCGTCAGCCTCATCTCCATCAGATTATTGTTGATTGTCCTCTTCTGACTTGGGAATAGCAGGTTTCCCTGCCTGCCAATCGCGATTGAGCTGCATCAAAGGATGAAGAGGTGACAAGTGTTGCCATATGAGGTATGATCGGGATATTTCATCAGATGTGGCGCGGTCGTAGTCGTCTTCCGTCAACTGCTCCCCATATGGCGTTGCATTAGGGTCGGCACAGTAACCGGGGCCATCACCATGAGACCAGACCCACGGTGTTCTCTTGAAGCTCGGGCTTCTTGATGGGCGTCTCATGGGGCAGCCAATCCTGCGGTCGGCACATTCGGGGCATGAGCAACAGACGTTTCTGTAGAGCTTCCGTTCCTCGATGATAGCTCTCTTGAGGTTGCGCGTGACCATCTTTTCTTGTGTATTAACAGGTCCGGTCCTTGTCGAACGAATGATCGCGCCGCCCTTACCTCGCATAACATTGCGAAGAGCATGCCAGTGACGGATCTGATGCTCGGTCCAACCCTGATCCAAATGATATCATCTTTTCTGGGGGTGCGCGCCGACGAGCAAATCCAGCCTCCGCGTAGCCAGCGAGGCGCTGTATTCCGCTCTCTGTATATTCTTCTCGCGGTTGATCTTCTCGAGGCGGGCGCCCCCGCGGGCGTTCCCTCCTCGGGGGAATGACAGGTCTGTTAGCCTGCCATGGCGGGGCCTCTGAAGTTCCCGCATCAGGGGGGTGAGGCCGCTGGAGACCGCTAGAGCGAGCGCCGCTGGAGCGGGCGCGCGCGCGATCGGGTGAGCGACTGGGGGCCCGACCGCGACTTCTCATGTGATCGCTATCTCCCCACTCGTCGTCCTCGTCGTCGGCGCGATACTTCTTCCTCCAGACCTGGCGGCTTGTCGATCGATTCTGGCGTCTCATGGACCGATCTGAAGCAGCGAAGGTATATTGAAATTCTTCATTATGGCCTAGCTCATATTGAATACGCTCAGATAGATCACTAGCGTCTCGCGGGTTCCCCCGCAAAGGATCATCGCCACTCAATTCCATATATGTCGGATTTCCAATAACCCGAGGATAAAGCATCAAATGTTTGTCCTCGTCTGTCGCAGGAATGTCAACTTCTGAATCCACGGGCGCCCCCGCCATGTCAGCATCTATTTCGGCGGGCACGTGGAAGTTCGACAAATTCGATATATCCAGGTTGCCCCGCGATGGGTATGCCCAGCCATTCTGCCAGATCGATGTCGTTGTGGCCAGTGAACACCTCCTCGAACAGCTCGTCGGCGCAATTCTCGAGGGTCACACTGGCGATAAGATATCTGGCAGCCATGAAGATGACAACTGCAGCTGAGCTGTCGACAGGGTCAGCTAAAAGAAACCCCCAATCAACATACTGCATGTCGGAGTCGTTTTGAGCCACATGTATTGACGGACCCCATGCCTTTTCCATCGCCTTGACGGCATTCGCGGCGAAAGTGCCATGCACGGTGGCATATGTCGCACTCCATAGTCTTACCGTTGGCGCCCTCTGGGTTTCCCCGGCGTCCTTTGCCATTTCCTGATGTACGCCTGCGGTTTCTGCCT